AAGCCATGAGCAGCCACAACAAGGCCCTCGGGAGTAACAGGATTCCACTTCAAATGAGATTTACAAATTAAAAATAAAAGAGCTGGATTATTTCTGTGTGCCTGAACCCCCCTTCCTGGCTGCTCAGCCAGCCTCGAGTGGACACTGCAGGGTGGGGAGGGGTGCCATGCACATGCAGACCTTGGGAATTTGGGAAAATCCTTTCCTTTGTCTCTCTGACTTTGCAGTCAAGCACTGCCCCATGTCAGACAGAGGAGGAGAGCTGGACACAGATCCCTGGTAACTCCCTCAGAGAGCCCAGAAACCAGACCAAAATCCAGACTGGTTCCAGTTTGCCAGGCAGGGAGATCAGAGCAGCATTTTTGCCATCACCCCTGGCAGAGCCCGACTCGCTCCCAATGCAGCCCTGGGAGCGCTGCCAGAGCTCCTGGGATCTGCCAGAGCTGCCGGGATCTGCCAGGATCTGATGGAGCTGCTGAGATCTGATGGAGCTGTTGGGATCTGCCAGGATCTGATGGAGCTGCTGGGATCTGATGGAGCTGCCAGGATCTGCCGGGATCTGATGGAGCTGTTGGGATCTGCTGGAGCTGCCAGGATCTGCCAGGATCTGATGGAGCTGCTGAGATCTGATGGAACTGCCAGAGCTGCAGGGATCTGCCAGGATCTGATGGACCTGCTGGAGCTGCCAGGATCTGATGGAGCTGCAGGGATCTGCTGGAGCTGCCGGGATCTGCCAGAACTGCCAGGATCTGATGGAGCTGCTGGGATCTGATGGAGCTGCTGGGATCTGATGGAACTGCCGGGATCTGCTGGAGCTGCCAGGATCTGATGGAACTGCCAGGATCTGATGGATCTGCTGGGATCTGCCGGATCTGCTGGCTGGGCTGTGCCAGCTGCTCCTCGCTGTGGGGCTGGGGGAATGTCTTGCACACCTGCCCACTCTGCCGCAGCCCCGGGTTGTCACCGAGGGAGAAGTGTTGACAGCACCACACGGAGCGGAGCAGGTTCGCAGCTGAGCCGGGATTGCTCAGCTCCTTGGCAGCGAAATGACAGGGCCCAAAGAGTGCCTGTCTCTCCAAGGAAATCCTGCGGCGCTTGGAGAGACATTACCTGGATCGGCAGCGGGAGGAAAAGGCTGGGAGCTGACAGAGCGTGCAAATACCAGGAGAAGAGGTTGGCGTGGGGGAGCTCTCCCCACATCCCAGCTGCTTTGTGGCCTGGGGGGAGACCCTGAGCGGGATGCAGATGGAGAACCTGCATGGAAAACAGGAGCTGAGATCCCAAAATTTTGTGCATGAAACACAAAAGACAGCCTGCTGTGCGCTCTTATTTTTTGTGACAAAAGCAAGGTCACCTCCCTGTCCACCCCCAGCCCCTGCCCTGGGTGAGTGCCCAGGGCACGGCCACAGAGCCACAGGGCCACCAGCCATGGCCAGGTAATCCCTGCTGGGGGAGGGCCGGCCCAGAGAACCCAATTGTAAATACATCAGTGTCCTCCTTCTCCCTGCCACACGTTTAAATCTATTTGATCCACTCTAATGGATTGATCTACAAGTTTGTGCACACACATCCTGCTTTGGACGGGCGGCTGGCAGCGCCTCGCCCATCACGGCCTGTCAGCTCCACTCAGCCTCACCTCGAGTGCAGAGCGAATCCAATTACAGGATAAAGGGTTTTCTTCCCCTCCATATGGTCTCTATAACGCTGTGGCTTTATCTTGCCTTAACCCCTTTCCTGGCGAGGGAGCTCCCAAGCCCGGCCTAAGCGGCTCAGCGCCGTGGCCCTGGATGGCTGCTATGTGATACGGGAAATGGGGTCTTCCCAGGGCACCCAGAGGCACATTCCTCCCTCTTCTCCTGCCCACTGGGGAGGAATGAGCCCGCACGGGAGGGAGATTCAGGGCAGCACTGGTTATAAAAGCAGCCAGCAGCACAGGAGTGAGCCCAGCCGTGCAGTCAGAGCTGTGCTCACAGCCGGGGTTCATGGGGCTGTGTGTCAGCCCAGCACCGGGAGCTCGGCACAGATGTTCCCTTCATGACTGATTTGTTGTGCTCTTGCATTTCCCTCCACCTTGCTCTGCCAGGTGTTCCCTGCGTGTCCCTGGGCAAGCGGCTCCTGTGGCAGGGCTGGGGATGGGCGCCACAAAGGGCTCCAGGAGCCCCCCTCCCCTGTGTGAGCTCTGCCTGTCGCTGATCCCTGTGAACCAGGCGTGTCGGCTCTGTGCAAGCCAGTTATTTGATTATAATTATCATCCCTTGCTTTACACAGGGCATGAAAGCCCAGAGCAGCTCAGGGCCCCGTCACGCCGCGCGCCAACAAACAATGAGCCAGAGACAATCCCAGCTCAAAGCAGGAAAACCTGCAAGGGGCAAGAAAAGCCTTTTCCTGAGGACAAACACAGAGCAGCAAAGCTCTCCTCCCGCATTAGGCAGGGCCTGGAATTTGCTGCTGTCGTAGAGTCAGCACAGAAAACAACCGGGAGCTCTCCTGGAGAGAGAGCAGCTCGTAAACTTTCCCTGCTAAGAGACAGCAAATTAAAGCCATCCCTGTGACAGGGCTGCAGCAGGAGCTGAGGTTGCATTCAGGACACGTCCTGGAGGGACCAGGCACTCTCAGTGGGGTCATTTCCCTGCTCTGGGTTTACTCAAGGCCTTGGCCATTGCTCTGGGTGTGCTGACCTGCCCAGAGCTCTAAATCCACCAACCTTGGGGCAGTGACCCAGGGGACACATCCGTGAGGACAGCTGAGAGGGGACAGCCCTTTTACAAAGCACAGGTGGCTCAGGCTTACCTGCTCCACAGGCAGCTCCCAAAAAGGGTAAGGACCTGGTCCAGGTTGGTTGAAACCCTTCCAGTCCAGTTGTCCCTTTGAAAGGTGTCTGGGAACCACCCGTGAAGCCAAATCTCCTCCACATTCAGCTGCCAGGTGAGTGGAGAGGATCTGCTGAGCCGGGAAAGGTCCCTCTCCCAAAAAGTGCAGCTGAGTGTTCTCCCAGCACCCAGACTCAGTGTCCCTGTTCCCCCCACAGCTTCCTTTGCACCAACCTTGACTTTAGAAGAGGGCAGGACACCCCAAAGGGGTGCTAGGAAGGGATGAGAGGTGACAATTTACTTTCCCATGGGGTACCCGTGCCCAGATGCAAAACCTTGGAGAAGCTGCAGAACTTTGGGATGCTGCTGGCGCTGGCAGAGAGGCCCAACTGTTTTTGAAGTGAAATCTTGGAGCTGAGGATTTGCTTTCTCTTTTGAAGGTGGGCCACCACAGTGAAATATTGGAGCTGGAGGGAGTTGCTTTCTCCCATAGGAACTGGGAGGTGCACACTGGAATTGAGATGGATGCACAGCTGGTTTTGTGGATTAGAATTTCTGGGATTTCCTTTGATATTCATTCTGCAACAATGTGCCAAATTTTTGTACAAATTTTTTGAGCTTGACTATGGCCAGGAGAGGCAGGAAATTCCTCCAGGAAAAGGTCTGTGAGAAGCCATGGGGCTCCTCCACTTTCCCCTCATCCCCTCAAGGAAGACCTGGACCAGGAATTTGGTGCCTGGTGGCTTCGTGGTGTGGCAATTCCAAGAAGCACATCCATCCTGTGAGGAACCCTCATCCCAGGGCACCTGAGGCTGGCCTGACCCACTTCCCTGCACCACGTCCTACTTCTGCACCCACTGGATCAGGAATTAGGACACCATCCATCCCAACACCCCCTCAGCCTTCCGCTCCAGCTCGGAGATGCTCCAGGCGTGCAGGAGACCTCACTCATCCATGGGACAACGGTGACTTTTTCCATGGGCTGTGCCTTGAGGAGGCCCAGCTTACCTCGTTATCCGATCAGCTCCCTTAACCCCCCACATCCCCAGGATTAATGGAAGAGCTGCCCTAAGGCGCCTTAGGCAGGTCCCCTGGAGAAGGAGCCCCCATGACCCAGAAGGAAGAAATGGGGAAGAAGAATTTGGATGAGCTGGAGCATTGGCACTGGCCCTGGGGATCCCACACTCCGTGCTGGGAGCCTGGGGAAAGCTCCCTTCCATCCCTCTGGCTCTCCCAGGCTGTGCTGGTCTATCCACACTCTCTGCAGGGAGTTCAGGACGTCTTTGCTCTCCTCTGCCCCGTGGCACAACCAGGGGTGTGATCAGAGTCACACAACCAAGAGCTCTGCCCCAAAATGCTGCATTTACCAAAAAATTACCAACTGCATTTCCTTTGGGATGGGAAGTGGCTTCCCCTCCTACCTTTGGCCAGCTCCAGGCCTTTGGCTGTGTCAGCAGAGCCTGGATTTGGGATGCACACCCCAGCAGTCCTCACACTGAACCAGGCACCTGAAACAGAGCCCAGCCAACAGCTCAGCCCCACAAAGCTCAGTCCAGTCTTCCCCAGTAACCTCCCCAAGGTCAGTGGGGCAGAGCTGGACACTCCCCAGTCCCCAAGTGGTCTCACAGGGTCCTTCAGCCACCTAGGGACACCCCAAGCCTGTGACACACTGTGGACCCCAGAACAGCCCATTTTCACATCGGCCCCTCCCAAACTCTCCACTGCTCCTCCCACCTTTGCCCCTCTTCCCAAGCACTCCCCACCCCATCCCTTCCTGCCCCCAACACCTTAAACAACATTAAACACTTAATGGCAATTAATACTCTTTAATGCAGGTTTTGGGGCCAACTGGCTGCTTAGAGGGTGCTTAAACCATCAACCCCTCTCAATCCCGTTGCCCTTGTCATACAAAGTTAGCCGAGCCCCTCGTCAGCCTCCCCCCTCCCTCGAGGAGGCCGGAGGGTATAAAACCACCCTGGGGCGCGGCACCGCCAGCCCCCGGCGCGGCGCAGGGCAGGGCACCGCCTCCATCCCCTCCACTTCTGCTGCTCCTCGTAATTCATCCATTTTTTGGGTTGGAGGGGAACCCTCTCAAAGGGGTGGGGCCTCCCTTTTTTCATTAATCAGGGTCAGAACTCGATTCGTTGCAGAAAACCCCTCCGGTGGAGCAGCTCCCGCAGCCAGGGCAGCATGAACGGGACGGAGGGGATCAATTTTTACGTGCCTATGTCCAACAAGACCGGGGTGGTGCGGAGCCCCTTCGAGTACCCGCAGTACTACCTGGCCGAGCCCTGGAAATACCGCCTCGTGTGCTGCTACATCTTCTTCCTCATCTCCACCGGCTTCCCCATCAACTTCCTCACCCTCCTGGTCACCTTCAAGCACAAGAAGCTTCGGCAGCCCCTCAACTACATCCTGGTCAACCTGGCGGTGGCTGACCTGTGCATGGCCTGCTTTGGTTTCACCGTCACCTTCTACACCGCCTGGAACGGCTACTTCGTGTTTGGCCCCATTGGCTGTGCCGTGGAGGGATTCTTTGCCACGCTGGGAGGTAAGAGATGGGAATGAGGGCTTGGACTTTCCTTCTCCAGGGCTTTGGGAGTCTGGTTCCGTCCCTTCATGGCACTGTTGGGATGTGCAGCGTTGTTCCTCCGCGTGTGGGAGGCTCGCACTGCTCTTAAAATGGGGCAGGAAAAGAGATTTCTGCGTGTTTGATCTTGATAGCAAGGAGCCTCCATGGCATGGTGGCAGGGAAAGGAAGCCTGGGAAGGGATCCTTGTTTGTAGGATCCAGGCTGGGGTCACCTGGCCCTGGTAACAAGGTGGTTACCAGAGACCTGCCAGGGATGACCACGGCGTGTTCCTGAATCAACGCCAAGCAGCTCGCACCAAGAGCAGGCTTGGACTTGAGGTCTTTTCCCAACCTTCATGATTTCATGATAATTCCTTAACCCAAAGGCTTCCCTTTTTGGGGAAATGGAGGGTTTAGAAAGTGAAGAGAAATCCCTCAGGAAGGGAACCCCATGGTAGAGCTAGAGGTGTGGAGACACAAGAGGGCTCAGAGCTTATCCAGGGGCAAAAGGAAGGTGAGGAGGATCCAGGGTGGTTCCCAGGCTCCTCAAATCCTCAAGGCAGCTCTGTCCCAGCTGCCCCAGATTTGGGTGCCCTTGGGATTTTCCTTGAGGCATTTCTCAGGGACACACACGAGTGCTGCCAACACTTGGCCCTGCAGAAAAACAGGGAGAATTCACTCGGCAGCCAGAGCCCACGCAGCCAGCCCTGCCCACGCCACACCTCGTGATGGATCTGACAGCCACCAGTCCTTGTTGGAGAGACCCAGAGCCACCACAGGGACTTTGCTATCCTTCCCCTAAACGGTGCCATCCCCCACAGTGATGCTGCTCTGGATATACACATTTTAAAAACATGAATATTCTGCCAAATGCACAGCTGAATGTCCTGATCCAATCCAAGGAGCAAGGAAAGGCTTGGGGTTGAAAGATCCCAAAGTCTGCTCCATCCCTGTTCAGTGAGCCTTGGGCAGTGTTATTTTGCCTTTCCAATGTTTGTACCTCTCAGAGGAGGAGGAGGAGGCTCCTGTTCCCAGGGAAGGAAGTTGGCTGGGAAGCAGCGGGCTGTGCGAGCAGCAGGTCCCCAGCGAATCCCAGCACAGGGTGTCGTTATCAGCAGCTTATCACAGCTGGGGGCATTAGCAGGCTTACAGCACCGACTAAACGCTCCCAAATCCCCTGAAGTTTAATTATCCCTCATAAATACATGTGCACGTTTCCCACCCACACAGTCCCCCCCCCTCCCCGCGCCTCCCCCGATCCAGCGCCAGCAGAAGGCTCGTGAAATGCACAATTTAAAGGAATCAACAGGTTTGGAGGCATCTGGCAGCATTGCCAGGGATTGTGCATCCCCACGCCCAGGTGGGATTCACTGCCTTGATTCTTAATTTATTAAAACCCCTCCGCCCCCAGCATCCCCTCGGCTCCCAGAGCTTCTGCACGTTACGGGTGGAGGATTCCCAGTTTTCTATCAGGATGCTGCTTCTCCCACGGTGATCCCCAGCTCCCCCTGCTCTTCTGTGGAAGCACCAAGGGAAGGTGGAGCCCGGGGGGGCTCTGACCACTCCATGGGCTCTCCCTCTCCTCCCCGCAGGCCAGGTTGCCCTGTGGTCCCTGGTTGTCCTGGCCATCGAGCGCTACATTGTCATCTGCAAGCCCATGGGCAACTTCCGCTTCTCCGCCAGCCACGCCATGATGGGCATCGCCTTCACCTGGGTCATGGCCATTTCCTGCGCCGCCCCGCCGCTCTTCGGCTGGTCCAGGTGAGCCCCGGGATCCCCAGCAGCTCCTGGACCCCTCCATCCCTGCAGGGAGAGCAGGTGGCTCCCAGCAGGGAAGTGCTTGGCCTTGGAGGAGGGAAATGAATGTTCTCATGGGAGGGGGTGTCACAGCAAGCTGATGTTGCATGCTCGAGTGCGCCCCAACCACCCGTACCACCCCTCCAGCATCCCCCATCCTCGGGGAATTCCGTCCCTGTTGCCCCTCAGGGAGGGTCCTGGAGCAGATTCCCACCTTTCTCCCTGCCAGGTACATCCCGGAGGGGATGCAGTGCTCCTGTGGGCCCGACTACTACACCCACAACCCCGACTTCCACAACGAGTCCTACGTGCTCTACATGTTCGTCATCCACTTCATCATCCCCGTCGTCATCATCTTCTTCTCCTACGGGCGCCTCGTTTGCAAAGTCCGCGAGGTAACGGCCGGAGGGGACCGATGGGGACAGGGGGGTGGCTCGGGCAGGATTGAGGGGTGTGAGTTGGGGCTGCAGAGCTGCCCCTCACCACCCTCTGTGTGCACAGGCAGCTGCCCAGCAGCAGGAATCGGCCACGACCCAGAAGGCAGAGAAGGAGGTGACGCGGATGGTGATCCTGATGGTGCTGGGCTTCATGCTGGCCTGGACGCCCTACGCCGTGGTGGCGTTCTGGATCTTCACCAACAAGGGCGCCGACTTCACGGCCACACTGATGGCAGTGCCTGCCTTCTTCTCCAAGAGCTCCTCCCTCTACAACCCCATCATCTACGTGCTCATGAACAAACAGGTGAGACACCCACATCTGGGGGCTCCACGGGCACGTTGCTCCTTCCCAGAAGGATCTCAGTCCATCCAGGGACTCCTGGCCCTGTGGCACGTCCCCTCTGGCCCCCGGTGCCACCACTGTCATTTCTCTCCCCTCCCCAGTTCCGTAACTGCATGATCACCACAATCTGCTGCGGCAAGAACCCCTTTGGGGATGAAGACACCTCCTCCACCGTATCCCAGAGCAAGACCGAGGTCTCCTCCGTCTCCTCCAGCCAAGTATCACCTGCATAGAGCATGGACAGTTTGAACTGGGGTGACCTGCCGAGCTCGGGGACCCAGCCAGACGCCCCCCAGCCATTCCCTCGTGCCCCGGCCCCCTCCCCTGCAGGGGAATTTAGCTGTGCCCGTCCTGCCATAGCTGTGCAGACCCCACCCCACACATCCACGGGGACCCACCCGTGGCACTCTGAGCTCTGCCAGAGTGCTCCCACTCTGACGTGCTCCCAGGAGCACGGCACCTCTGGGGGACTGTCCCCACCTGTCCCCACTGAGTTCGAACAGCAGCAGATGATGGGGACCCCAAACCTTTTCCTGCCTGAATCCCACTCCCCGCCAGCATCGCCCTTCCCTGGGCTCCAGGGAGCATCACAGGAGCACCCAGGCCTCATTTGCAAAAATCTAAATATTCTGGCAAAGCCCCAGGAGCAGGACCCTGTGGCTGGGGTGGCCCCACCTGCCCCTCGGCAGGGCCTGAGCCTGGGGCTCTCTGGAGCCACGCTCCCGCTGGGATTCCCAGCAGGAATCGATTCCTGCAGCCTCTATAAATCAATACAACAAACGGAGCCACGGGCGGGAGCCCAGCTCCCTCTATCCCCAAGACAGCACTGTAGATACATTTTTTTGTCTTGGAACCTGTAAATATTTGCTCATGTCCTTTGAAATCTCTATCCCTCTCAGCTCTTTCCTTTCTTCTCCTGTTCCCCACTCCAAAGCAGAGAAATTCCCCTTCCACCTCTGCTCTGGCTGGACAGGCACGGCCAACCCTGGAGGGTGGGGCCGGGACCCGAGCGCTTTCCTGTACATATTTTATAAATAAATAATCTCATGTCAGCACAAGGACATCTGCAGTCAAGGAGTAGGGGTTTAAAAAAACTAAGAAATAAACAGAAGCAGCACAGAGAAAAACACAGATGCTCAGTCCTTGTCCTTTCTCTTGGGCTGTGGGGACAAGATGCTGGTGGCCAGCTGGGGGAACACAAGACAGGAGCTTGCAGCTGTCCCAAAAGCCATGGGAAGGGGGATCTGTGGGTGACACCATCCCCACAAGGTGGCAGCCCCATCAGCTGGAGCACCAAAGGTGTTTGGAGGCAAAAAGAGACACAGGGCACAGCCCTCACTGCCCAGCCAGGGGTTTCAGTACTTTAATATTTAAGATTTCCCCATGTAGCCTTAAATAAAGCTTCAGCTGAGAGCTTCTCACAGAGTTCAAGTTCCCCTTCCTCTGGGGCCCTTCCAGGCAGCGTTGTGACAGAATTGGAAGAATCAGGGAAAAAATTGTTCCCTGTGTCAGTGAATTCATTCAGGAGTGGCTGGAGAGCGATCCCAGTGCCAGAACCTCGCCCTCCTGCCCTCCCTGCTCAGCTCTCACCTCCCCTCTGGTGTTTTTCCTCCTTTTTGGGTCCAAAGCCACCAAAACCAGTGAGAAGTCCCAAGCTCATCCCTGGCGTGGGAAGGCAGGGTTGGGAAGCATTTTTGCCCCCAAACACCAGGTCTGGGAGGGGAAGGATGCAGCCCCAGCTCTCCAGGCACCCTCCTGTCTCTGCACCAACCCAAATTTGGGGTCCTGGCTGGGATTGCTCTGGAGCAGCTCCCACACCACTCCAGCTGTGCTGGATGATTCACTCTGCCCATCCCAGGAGCCTTTTTTCCTTCCCTACAAAGCCCCAGACCAAGCTCAGAACTGATTTCTTCAAACCATGGGAGCAGGGGAGGAGCAGCCACCAGACAACCCAAAACCCAAACCTCACCCAGCCCAACAGACCCAACCCTTCCTGGCAGAAGCATTTCAACCAAAGGTTCCTCTTCCAAAATCACCCAGGAGCTCTCTCCTTCCACTTTTCCATGAATCCGTGGATTTATCCAGGCACTGCATCTGCAGCCAGCAGGGACCATCCTGGCATCACCCACTCAGAGCAGGCACCACCAGCTGCTCCAGTGCTGCTGGCCTGGCACTGCTGCCACCTAAATTCAGATGCAAACCGAGGAAAGCAGCCAGACTCATCCAGGGAATGGAGACAGCTGGAATCTCAGGCCCAAAGGGCATCTCAGTGTCTGACTCCCATCCTTCTGCAGCTGGGACTGTTCCTCCTCATCCCAGCACTGCTGTCAGCTGGTTTAGGAAAACTGCAGTAATTGGCTCAATTCATTTTAAATCAGTTCTCATTTGTGCAAGCAGCACTCAGGGAAAAGCAGCTTGGAGTTTATAACGTCCTGATTTGGAGCATCCACAGGGATGAGGGGGAGATCTCAGTGAGATGTTCTTGGTCTTTGCCCCACAGCCCTGGGCACAGACAGAACCCCAAAAAAAGGGACAAACCAGGCTGCTGGCCCAGTGCTGTTCCCCACAACCCTCATCCTGCCAGGGCTGATGGAAAGGGGTTCTGGTAAGGACAGGATGGAGGAGAAAAGGGGCTCTGGGTGGGCTGGAGGAGAAATGGGGTTCTGGAAGGGAAAGTCTGGAGAAGAAAAGGGATTCTGGAGAGGATGGATCCATCCTGGGATGGCACTGCCTGGATTTCTCCCAGGACATTTTTATCCCATCAGTGCAGAAGGAGCAGCTCCATGCCAGAGGTTCTGGCTCTGCTCGTTTGTCTCTGCCAAAGGAAAAACATCTCCTTGTCCAGCCATGAGGAACAAGAAGATTAAAACCCTCAAACACTGCCCCCTTCCCTCTGTGCCATCACACACAGGGCTGGGGGGGCCAAATCCCTTTCTGGGGTGCCCAGACCCTGCTACCAGGAGAAAAAGCTGCTCCTCAAGGGAAAAACTGCTGGAATTTGGGCTTGGGAGAAGCCAGGATTGCCCCTGCCAGTGCCAGGGGGACCTTGCACAGCCCCAGCAGCTCAGGGAGACCCAGGCAGTGTTTGCCTCCCACCCAGGAGGGTTCAGGAGTCCCCACATTTGTGTCACTTCCCAGCAGGGCCACGTTTGTGTCACATCCCCAGCCCGAATCCATCAGGGCTGCCTGTGTCACGTTAGCAGCAATAAAAGGATTCAAACAGCAATTCCTTACTTTTATGAACAAATGGCCCTGGCTGGATGATTCAGGCAGCATTCAATTCCCAGCCAGAAAGTGTCAGCAAAATCCCAGCCTCTCACATGTAGGTGGATAACTGCAAATGAAAGGAGGGAATTATTAGCACTTAATACCCAGTGGGTCTGCAGTCCCCAGGGCTCCTCTCCAGGAGATGCCAAACGCTCCAGAGCCCCAGCAGCTGCCAAGGGGGGGCTGCAGGGATTGGGGTGATGGCTCTGGGCACTGGGATCGACCTCACCCCACTGCCAGGGCCCTGCTCCAGCCCAGCCCCACCAGAACCCCTGCTCTCCTCCCGCCTGTCCTTTTCTCCTCCATCCCATCCTCTCCAGAATCCCTTTTCTCCTCCAGACTTTCCCTTCCAGAACCCCATTTCTCCTCCAGCTTGTTCCATCCAGAGCCCCTTTTCTCCTCCAGCCTGTCCTTTCCAGAACCCCTTTCCTCCTCCAGCTTGACCCCTCCAGAACCCCCTTTCCCCTCCAGACTTTCCCTTCCAGAGCCCCATTTCCCCTCCAGACTTTCCCTTCCAGAACCCCATTTCTCCTCCAGCCTGTCCTTTCCAGAACCCTTTTTTTCCTCCATCCCATCCTCTCCAGAACCTCTTTTCCTTCTCCATCCTGTCCTTACCAGAACCCCTTTCCTTCTCCAGACTTTCCCTTCCAGAGCCCCTTTTCTCCTCCATCCTGCCTTACCAGAATCCTTTTTCTCCTCCATCCCATCCCATCCTGAGCCCCCTTTTTCCCTCCAGCCCATCCCCTCCAGAGCCCTTTTCTCCTCCCCACACCCCCTCTCCCATCTCCCCCTCCCCACCCAGGGACCCTCAGGCACCCCAAACCCTTGGTGGCACAAATCCCCCAGCTCCAGAGGGATCCAGGGAGGCTTCCCAAGCACCTGGTGCTGCTCCTGGCCATGCAGGACCGTGCTCCACACTCTGCCTTTCTCCTTCACCCAGCCTGCCCGTATTTTTCTTGTTCATCAGACTGACAAATGGGCAGAAAACAGACTCCTGGTGATTTCCTGCACAGGCTGCCCACTCCTCCTCTCCCCTCGGCGATGACTGAGAGCTGAAAAAGCAGGAATAGCATATAAATTTCCTCCCTGCTTTAATAAATACCTCTATTACCTTGTGCTTTCCCCCGGCTCGCTGTGCAGCTCCTGCTGCCCGCCAGGCAGACGTGATAAACCAAAATTCACATTTCTGTGGGGGACCAGCAGCAGCAGGGCTCAGGCAGGCTGGCAGCAGCATGGGAGGGGTGAAGCTCCCACCTCGGGGGTCTGGCTGCAGCTTCACGTCATCCCACGGGGAGATAAATCCATTTATTTATTACCAAAAGGGAGCTGGGGTTTGTCTCTGGTCCCTCTGTGGACTCCCTGTGCTGGTCCCAGGGGGAGGAGGGGTCCAGGGCTTGTCCCAGACACCTCTGAGCCCCTCGGGGTGAGCCTGGGGTTTCCTGAAGGGTGGCAATAAAGACAAACCCTGCTAAAATCTCAGCCAGAGAGCGCAGGGGGGGAGCAGAAGGGTTTGGTGGTGGAGGGAAAGCTGTCAGAGCTGGGATCTGTGCTGGGTTCCTCCTCCCTGGGCCTCATCCAAATCCTTGCCTGGGGCTCTCAGGACACCCGGGACAGGACGTGTCACTGTCCCTTGGCCAGGACACCCCCGAGCAGTGCAGGACCAGCCCGAGCATCCCAGTGGGATGCAGAGACCTCGCTCCATCCCCTCTGCAGGACAACGGGCAAAACCCACCGGCCTTTGACACCCCCAGCGCTGCCAGCAGCCCCTGGGGCTGTCCCCTCTGCCACCCCCAGCACAGCCTGATCCAAGCGGGCAGCGCCACTGTCCCCATCCCCAGGGCGCAGCAGCCTCGGCTCCTCCTCCCCCGCAGCCCGATTGATGGCGGTGTTTGCCAAAAGCACCTTCAAAAGGAGCATTAGGAGGTGGCAGCCTCCCAATTTCCCCCTCAGCCAGCGATTGCTGCGT